GCCCGGCCTTGAGAAGCCCTTGACTTTTAAAAAAAAATTTGGATTGAGGTATAAAAACAAAAAAGTGCATAAACCGTGAGCACAGAGCTCAAAAAACATTCACACCATGCAACCAGCATCCCAGAAGCTCCTGCAGGGGCTCGCATGTCCCCTTCCCTTGCAGACTCTGGCTGGAGCCTGACACGGTGTGTGGTGGATAGACACGGCTGGGAGAGATGGGAGGCTGGTCAGAGGCTGATGCAGTTGTCCAGACTCCAGGCCATGAGGGGCAGAGAGGAAGGACAGGTGCAGAAGGTATCTGGGAAACTGAGCTGGCAAGACTGGGCTTCTGTTGGTGGGGGGTGGGGACAGAGGTGCATCCAGTTGCTTCCCAGACCCCTGATGGGAACTATAGGAGGAGGCAGTGGAGAGGATGGTTCTGTTTGGCATATACCGAGGGTGAGGTGCCCAGGGACACGGGTGCCCGTCCCAGAAGGAACTCCCCGTCGCCCACCCACCCCCATCTCTCCCTGGCTCTGCCTCTGTCCTGGCATACAAACAGTCTGGTTAGGGAGAGGATGAAAACCTATCTGGATGCGGACACAGGGTTTTCAATACCCCATTCATGGGGCCCAGTACAGCCCCCAGTGGAATAATCAGCTTTTGTCTTCCCTCTGCCTGAACTGGGAACAGCTGGGAGATGGGAGTTGAGCATTGTGAGGAGGGGGAGAGCCACAGTCCAGTATTTGCTGGGCGGGGGATACATAGTTATCTGGGCCTTCCCCCCACCTCCTGCCTAGGGGCCACCCACTTCTCAGGCTGCTGGGACACTGGCCCCCCAGGTCAGATCAGCCCCCACCCTGCAAGTGTGAGGACAGACAGCTCCCAGAGACCCTGCCAGGAATCCTCAGGGTCCCCCACTCCCTCCCCTGCCACCCTGGCCCAGGATTGGGGGAGAAGGATCCTGACCCCATGGACCTCCAATGCCAGCTGACCTCAGAGCCCTCCACCAAGCCTGCCTCACCCCCCAGCTCCAAGGTTGAGCCCCTCCAGCCTGCAGCTGCCTCCTGCCCCAGGGACCGTGGCCAAGATGAGACTTCAGCCTTCCCTGCCCTGGGTGACTAGGGCTCTCGAAAGCTCTCACATTCCCTCTTCACCCTTTGTAAGTGCAACCATCGCCTGCCAGCGTAACACAGTGTTTAGAAGCATCAGCTCCACCATCTACTAGCTATGTGACCTCAGCTCACTAAGCCTCACTGTTCTCATCTGTAAAGTGGGGTTAGTAATACACTTAGCTCTTATAGTTGTTGCTGGGTTAAATGAGCTAATGTTTGTACAAGGTTTAGCCCAGTGTCTGGTGCACCGCAAGTGTGGTAGCGATTGTTATTATTACTGTCTTCCTATCTAGACTGTGGACCCTTGAGGGCAGAAGCCAGATCTTATTCAATGGTATCACCTGGCAGAGGGTCTATACTCAGGAAGTGTTTGTTGAATGACTAAATGAAGTTTATGGCTGCAGAATCATAGAATGAAGCAGTCAAGGGGGGCCAGGAGATTATCAAGGACAACTTCCCAACTGACCAGTGGGAAACAGTTGTCACATAGACACACACACACACACACACACACACACAAACACACCGAGCAAAAGTGAAGGATTCATACCTGGGGGGATGTTCTGGGCTCTTTCTGTCCCTTCTTCTAGAGTCAATCCAAGGTTGAATCACTTTCTCAGCCCCTGGAAGTTTAGGAGGGGGAGGAATCTTCCAAATACAAATCAACACAGGCTTTTCTTCTTTTCTTTCCAAAGCTGGAAGGTGAGCAGAGACAAAGTCCCTGTCCATGGAGCTGGCTGGTGGCCCCAGCCTGTCCCCATCCGACGTGAGGGGCAGAGGGAGGCAAAGGGAGAGTGGAGGTGGCCGGCACCACCTAGAGTGGCCCCAGAGAAAGGGCACCCAGGCAGAGGAGGAGCCACATGGGGGGCATGGCCTCTCTGGCCAGGCAGCCCCTCCTCTCCTCCCCCCCAGCCCAGTGCTCAGGTTTCAGAAAGGTCTGGACAGTCTCCACCCCTTTGCAGGGCAGCCAAACATCCTGATTCTCAGAGAGGGCCCTGATCCAACCTGGGGAGTCCCCTTGGTTGTGTCCTGACCAGTGCCTTGGCTGGGGGTTTGGAAACGATCACAGGAGCTACAACATATGGAGTGGGCTTCCCACGTACGCAGGGCTCACAACTTCACTCAAGTGCTGCTGATTTTGCCTTATTGTTTGGAAATGGGGATGTGTGTGCAGACAGCTCTTTGGAAAAGTTTGGCTGTAATGGGGAGGACAGAGGAGGGATGGACACTCACCAAAGAGGGAAGCGGAGTCTCGTGACAACTGTGGAGATGCCCTGCTCAGATCTCCCTTCCAGAAAGAACTAGTGGAAGATCTGTGAGGAGTGCAGTCAGCTGACAGCCTCCAGCTGTGGCAGCTTTGGGATCTCCTGCAGCGTCCGAGCCAAGGCCACGTTCTTCCTGGGCATCCCCAGCTGGGTGGGGAAGGATGAAACCTCATCTTGACCAGGGTCCCCAGGGCGTGAGGCAGGCACAGGCTGGAGGGGTCAACCCTGGAGCTGGGGGCCGAGGCAGTCATCACAAGGCCCTCGGAGGGCTCTGGGACCAGCTGGGATTCGAGGTCCGTGAGGGGCAGGAGCAGGAGCAGGGTCCTTCTGCCTTGCTTCTGGCTGGGGTGGCGGAGGTAGAATGGAGGTGAGCACTAGGCAGGGATGCAAGGGCCTGGCCTTGTCTGCCCTGAGGATCCAGTCGACACAGAGGGAGAGGGGTTTTTGCTGCTTTTTGCTTTTATTGAGAGAGACCAGAGCATGCTTAGAAGGCTGATGTGAAAAACCCAGCTGGGAAAAGGCAGCTGAATGAGGGAGAGATGTGCAGATGGAGCGAAGCTTCCTAATAAGGAGAAGGAATGCAGTCTGCACTGCAGGGGGCAGTTTCCCCAGGCCAGGGGAGGACCGAGGGTTCCCTTCCTGATGAGGGTCCTTTTCCTGGCTTGCAGATGGCCGCCTGCTTGTTGTGTCCTCACAGGGCAGAGGGAGGGCGGGGCAGAGAGACAGAAAGAACAAGCTAGCTCTCTGATGTCTCTTCTTATAAGGACACTAATCCTATTGAATCAGGGCCCCACCCTTATGACCTCACTTGACCTTAATTATGTCCTAAAGGCCCTATTGCCAAATGCACTCACAGAGGGAGTTAGGGCTTCAACATATGAATTTTAGGAGGATGCAAACATTCAGCCAATGAAAAGGGAAAGAAGGGAGAGACAGAGGGCACGCTCCTTCTATTAGAGGTCATGAGCACATTCCTTTGCTCATACCTCATGGCTAGAACTTATTCTCATAACCATAGCCCAGCTACAAATTCTGTCACCACCTACGAAGGGAGCGCAAATACCAGGGACAACTATAGTTTCTGCCATAGTCCTTGTGTTACTTGATCTCTCAGCTGCCTTTGGTACCCTATCAGTTACAACGCTTTGGGCTGCAAGTAACAGAAAAAATAGATGAAAGTAGCTCAAAAAGTAGAGTTTTTATCACTCTAAACAAGATGCCCAGAGATAAATGGAGTGGTTGATTCAGAGAAATGATGACATCGTCAGGGACCAGGTCCCTCCCATGGTGCATCTGCCATTGTCAGTCATCAGCAGGTTGGCTTTTCCTCTTGGCTGGCCTCCCTCATGACTCAAGATGGCAGCCTCGATTCTGAGAAACTCACGTGTATGACAATGGTGAGAGCCAGAAAAGGGAGGACTTACCTTATGTCCCCCACTCATTTTTTTTTTTAGGGACAGGGTCTCACTATGTTGCTCAGGCTGGTCTTGAACTCCTGGGCTCAAGTGATCCTCATGCCTTGGCCTCCCATGTAGCTGGGATTACAGGCACACAGCACTACATGTGGCTGTGCATCCCTTTTTAAAAGCTAGGAAGACTTTCCCAGAAAACCCCCAAGAAACATACCTTCAAGTCTTTTTTTTAGACAGAGTTTTACACT